TGAGGTAGCCCAAGCTATGGACATGGGTCTAAAGTCACTGTCCGTAGAATAATGAAATTTGGAATGTAAAAATGTGCTTATGTTCTGTGTTACACCTAACTACAAATAAGTGGTTAAAGTCTTCAAGAGCTGCAGTTTCAGTATATAGTAATCTAGACTCCTTTTATAAAAAAATAGAATTTCAACGGAATCCTTTTCATTTTAAACTATTAGTATCTATACCAGAAATCATGAAAAGCAAGGTTTTACTCAGAGAACTCCATATCTATAGAACCTCAAAAGGGGAGTAAGAGATGGAAACTGTAATTTGGTTCCAGAGGGTAAAATGTTAATAAAACATCCCTAAAATGATATAACCTGGAGAAAGATGATAATACAGTTAAATTCTACCCTACATAGCATTCTCAGCAGATCACTGTAAAAGATAACAGCAAATTATGTTTGGCAATTAATTTCTGTAGTACAGTTCTGGACTTACACATGTATAAGTTAAACTCAATGAAAATATTTACCTCTCCATATAACAGTATCTCTCCCAAAAGGATGAAATGGAACATAGCAAATGCCAACAAGCTTGCTGTAACAGAGCACCATTTGATCCTCTGCTTTACCTTAGCCTAGAATTTTCACTAGTATCAGAACACTATAAAGCCAAAACACATTGCTAGTTTTAAATACATGTTAAGTCGTAATAGCTAGCTTGGCAGAATGCACAAAGACATGGTCTCAATGCACTGCATCATCCTAACTCAATTACTGTCTAGAAATGTACACCTTACACAGTCATGAGACTCAAGGTGTCTCAAATTACAAAGCTTCAGAGATTTCTTAGAAAACAACACAATCCTTTGCATAACAAGCATTTTTTTCAAATGGCAGTGGTCTACCTTCCTTTCTTGGTCAAGAAGGGGAATAAGGAAGCGAGAAAGAGAAGAAGGGACTTCTCTGTGGAAAGATTTGGCCTTGGAGTCAGGGCTTTTAAGATGTGCTCATGATCTTGGATCGATGCCTCTTTATTTTCTTTCAGGAATAAATCTGAGCAATGGAATGGCTTGTGATCATCCAGCCAACCAGCCATATCAGATTTATCAGAAAGAAAGAATGAAAACTGGCCCAGAGGACTCCTGTAGTGGCTGAGTGGCAGGTTACTGGGAAAGACATACAAGAGAAAGGATACATTTAGTGGTGGAAAGGAAAACACATATTCACATGTGTAAAGTCAGTATCTAGTAAGATGTAGAGGACCAACAGTAATGCAGGGGGTGAATGTGAAGACAGATGACAGATAGTACTTCTATTTAAGAACCGAAATGATGAGAGCTCATGAATACTACATATTTGAAGCCACTTACAGGAGGAGATACAATTTTCCACTAAATGAGTGCAAACTCTGAAGATTAGCCAACGACTACTTACTGTGTTCTGGTTAGAATAAAAAATACATAAATCCTCCATGAAGTGCATGCCCTGTTAAATATTCTAATGTAATTTCTGCATTATGACATATTTCCAATGAGTAAATGAAAAAAATATAAAGTGCCTTGATTTTCAACAAAATTTGGCTTTCTCTGCATGCATAATTAAGATGCATAAAGGTAGGTGAGGTTTACAGAAAAATAAAGCAGTCACCCTGACATAAGCAGAGTGCTTCATCTAATCAGGACGAACACTGAGATTTTCAAGTTACAGGCTTAGTAACAAGCCTATTGATTTACTTACAAATAATATGTGAAAAAAAAACTTCATCTAAAAATCCCCACTGCACATACATAAGAATTTCAAAATTACAAGAAAAAAGGGAAGCAGTGCACTCATGCGCTCACAGTACACGTAACGAGGGACACGATGCTTTCTTGCAAATATCTGCAGCACTCTTTCATCATCTCACCGGGTTTTATTCACATGTTTCCCAGATGTAAAGAAAGCCAAGTGTGGAGATGCAACGCTGCATTGTAATATGTAGGAAAGAGTATGTGCTCTTAAAGAATGAAGGGTAGGGGTAAGTTACTTGTAAAACACAGATAGGAACTGAATGTCTTCATCACACAAGTACTTATTAAGGTACGTAAGAGTGTCACTCCAATAGAGCTAGATAAAAAATATGTATTTCCAAACAATTACAGTATTGATAATTATCGACCATGTAAGAAAGCTGAAAATTCTACAATTATTCCTTTGGGTGGCAAAGTTGTATAACTACCATTGAAAGGGTCCCTGCCTATAACATGCCAAATAAAATTAACCACTGGAAATGAGATGTCCTTCAGAATTATTAGAAAACTTTCTTCTTTAAAGCTTTGTTTTTTTAGTAGAAGAAGAAAACAGGTCTCTTTGTATGACAAATATCTTAACAAGTACCTCAAAAACCTCGTCATCAGAACCCCTCACCCTATATTTTTATTCTGTTCACATAAAGCAGTAAATAAGGTGCATTCCTTCTGCTTCTTAAGAAATTAGCATTTCAAAATATGCCACTTTCCCCTGAACTCCAAGCGTGTCTAATAATGCGAGAAGCAGATTGTCTTCCCTCGTTTCCTTAATTTGTTTCATCTAAAAGCAATTCACTCAACATCTTGTCGCCCTCTGGCAGCTTGGTTTACTTATCCGCACTTAATTTCTCATTTGGACCAAAACAAACTCTTCCAAACTGCTACTGACTGCTACCCGCGAGAGAAGAGACCCACAACACGTATTTCCTGGGGAGCACACAGGCACACACATGCATGGCCACAACACACAGAGCCTCACTCAGACCCAGACAGGCGCTTGTTTTTGCAATAACGGAGCATTCAACCCAGCTGAACTTTCCCTGCCAGGTGCGGCGGAGCAGAAACAAAAAAGAAGTCCCCAGGGGCATTTACAGTTTCCAATGGGTCACCTTAGTATGCGTGTTGCAATTATACCAGGGATGCACCCGAGCGCTTCTCTTTGTGCGGCCCTTTCATCTGGATCACTTTGTGTTCTGAACAAGTGAGGCTCGCCTTTGTGCCCCCAGAATTTCAAGTACAGAGTCACACTCGGAACAACAATGGCACACTAATCCTCGTGCTCTAAATGGGCTCACTTGTGGGTCTGACAATTCGACCGGGGAAAGGAGAGAAGAACGAGAGCAAGAGCTGGTGTAGCCTGAGACGAGGAAGAGGACAGCTGCAGAACTAATTTGGATTACATTCCTCGCAGAAATTCTGAAAGGGGCTTTTCGGCATAGCTCAACCGGAGCCGCACAGTTCATACCAAATTGCTACGGACCAGGAGCGCGGTCCTCCAGCGGCTGAACCACACAGACCCCCAGTAGGTCGTCTCGCAGAAATTCCTCTCGCCTAAGCCTGCATGTCAGTCGCAACTGCTTTTGAATGGGTCAACGTGCATAATCAACCCATTGAGGGAAAATATGAAGGGACTGGGAGTGGGCAGGGAGATAAAAAGGGATGTATCTAAGAGGCCGCTTGGAATCTCAAGTCAGTGCGATTCCCGAGGTGGCTGGAGCGCGGGACCTGGTATGCATGAAGAATTTCGGAGTAATTGGAAGGGTGCAAACAGCGCCCATGTGCCAGGCGAAGGTCATTCTGAAAGGCTCCAAGATTGTAACTTGTTATTTACTCGGCAGGGAGGGGGAGGCGGGGGCGGAGCGGGAAAACTATCGCGCGCTGTTCTCTTGGTGAGGTGAGGTCAGGGGGACACCGTCGGAGGCCTAAAGCTCTCCCCTTCGCCACTCCCGGCGGCTTTATCTCCTCAGGCTGCCTCCCACGCTCCCGCCAGCAGCCCCAGATGGTTGCGGAAATCTCCCAGGCTTTCCAAACGCTGCCCTCCGCCCCTGCCCTGGGCGCGTCAGACACCGGCTCTCCCTCACTCCTTTCCAGTCCCTGCTTCATCCTCAGGAAAGTCCTAATGTTGGAAACTTTGAGCGCCCTATGCGTGCAGGTGCTGCTGTCATTAGCCCTGCCAGCCGCGGCGCGCCAGCCCCCTGCGCAGCCCCTCGGGGTCAATTAGCCTTTTGCCTATCCAGGTGCCTCGGGCTCAAGCTCTCCAACAACCGCCCGCCGCACTCGGAGTGCAACCGCCGCGCCAGCCCCGGGTTAAATCAGTTCGCGCGACCGCCAGGCTCCGCAGCCCGGCCGGGCAGTAAACAGAGAAGTTGGAGGGAGACCGGCCAATAGCAAGTTGAACTACAGGAAGAACTCTTCCCAGAGCCAAATGCAGCCACCAACGGGAAGGCCGGGCTCCTGGCTCAAGTATGCCAAGCCTCTCTGCTTTATTTATTTATATTTTAAGAGGACAGGCAGGCAAGCAAGAACCCCTTGAGTCAATGGGGGGGTGAGGACTACAGGACGTTGGACAAGGCCCGGAATTTCAGGCCCGGGGCCGAAGCACATCCAGTCAGCCTTTCCCCCAGCTGCCCATGTTGGGCTCCATTAGTGTCTGACCCCACAAGGATTGGGCGACTGAGTGCGCAGCGGCCGCAGGCAGCATGCACAGGTACACAGCCTGGCTTTAGCAGCTGCACAAGCCAACGTCTCCAGGCTCTGGAACAGCCCAGTAGGCACCGCCCCGGGACCCCAGCCCTGCCCAGGCTCCGGCGGTGCGCGCTTCTCCGCCGCTTATTCCCTTGAGGGCCTAGACGGAAAGACTGTGGGTTTGGGTCTCCCGTGTCCCGAACAACAGGCACAACCAGGAGGGGTTCCTCTTTAGGCACCGGGAAAACACGCAAGAAAGAAAGACGGCGAGAGGGTGGAAGGGGTTGTGGGTGAGGAGTAATTTTTCACAATAAATAAAACACACGCGCGCCCGCGCAAACACGCACAGGGGTAAGTTTAGGATGGAGACTAGGGTAAGCAAGAGCCGGTGCAAGAGACCCCAGCCCGGGGGTTGGGGGGGTTGGGGCGTCCTTCCATGCCCAGGGGCGTGCGGGTATCGGGATGGGCAAAGAAAACGACCGAAACACCGAGCACGCCGGCGGCAGCAGGTTCAACTGCTGGAGCGCCAGAAGGACCGCGACCCACCTGACTGAGAAGCGCCGTGCCGGACGGTCCCCGCCGCCAGGAGAAGGCTCACCCAGACCCACAGTCCTGTCGCCAGCTTCATTTTTTGCAAGTCTCAGGTCCCGTGCTGACAATTACATGTCCAAATGGCATAGCCCCCTTCGGGCAAGCGGAGGCTATCCCCCAGTCCGGAGCGAATGGGGGCGCGAAGGGGCGGGCGCGGCGCGCGCAGTCCACCGGCTCCCAGCGCTTGCGACAGAGTCGGCGCCCGCAGGCCCAGGGCTGGGCTCCGCCGCGAGGAGTGGGCGCCGCGGGGCACGCGGGGAGCGCTCAAGGATCGTGCGGGCTGCTCCGGGCGGACTGTGCAGCTATTTCCCTGTGCGAGCTTCGCGCTCTCGCTCCCTCTTCACTTTCTCGCTCTCTCTCTTTTTCCTTGGTTGGTCAACAATAAAAAGGAAGAGGAGGGGGGAAAAAGGTTTCCAAAAAAAGTTGATTGCAAAGAGGCGGTAGGTTTCCGGCCTCTCCCCCACCAGCCGGGCTATGTTCGGCTCCCTTTTTCAGTTTTCTTGCACCTCCAGTCCAAATCGGGAGGCAAGAGGGGGGCGGGGGGAGCTTCTGGCTTCTCCCCCGAACCCGTCCTTTTTCCTGTCAGCTTTCCTCACACTTGTCCAGCGGCTGCGGTAATTAAAGCTCCGAGCGTCATTTTCAACGCTCCGCGGTCTCCAGCTGCAGCACCACAGAGAAATTAATAAGACTCTGGAATAAAAAAAGGGGGGGGGAGGGAAGGGGGAACCTGGGGTAGAGGGGTGGAAATAAAACAACCCTCCGCGCAACCAGGCAGGCTCGCCTCAGCCGCGCAAACCCCGCCCCTGCTCTGACCCAGCTGGCCACGCCCTTTCCCCCCCAAAGGGAATCTTATTGGCTCAGCCACTCCCCAAAATCCTCAGCCTCCGGAGTTGGGAAAACACCTGTCAGCGAGAGGCAACCCGGAGGTGTGGGGGCGGGGAAGCTGGATTTAAAGGGATCACCTGAATCCAGATACCGCAACACTGTCCTTCCCGCCCAAGCAGAGGACCAAAGCAGATGGCCCGCGAGAGGTTTGCTTGGAATACTTGTTTGTTTGTTTGTTGTTTTGACGAGAAAACGTTCTCTCCATCTCTCTCGGGAGGTAATGCACAGGCAGAACTTTACCTAGCAATAGGAAAGTTAATGGGGCTTGTGGCAAAAGCAGCTGCCCTCTTTACGCATTCTTGCTCCACATTTACAAGGTTAATTCAAGGAGCGGGTAAGGTAACTGGTAGCCTCACGCATCGAAGGTAGTCCTGGGGGGGATAACTTACCCGGTTCTCCACTTTCACCTTCCCCTCCACCATTGCCAGCTTCCCAGAGAAGAAAGACTGCAGCAAAGGAAGAATCAGCATTTGCACAGACACATCCTTTGACTTTAATGTTCTTAGGGACCTTTCTGCCCCCACACCCTCACCCCCCCATGCTTGTTTGGAGCTCCTTCTCATTATGCACATTGTAGTCCAAAGCTGCGGATTTGAATTTAAAGGGCTAACCATCATTGCAAGCCCTAAATATTAAGGAGGCCCTGTAGGAACATAATGGACCTCAAATGATGAGGCTTAATTCTACTAGTAGATGCAGCTAGACGAACCCCCTTGTTGCAGCCCTGGGAGTTACCCTCCCTAATCCTCAGGTCGCTGCCAGCCTTGGGATGCTGAGAAGTTTGTGAATCTAATTAGTGTATCCCGGGATTGGATCCTACTAACGTGCATACTCTTGCCTTTTACAGCCGGAAACTACGCAGGGCAGGGCTAGAAACTCGTGGGAGTGGTACGTTATCAGTGTGCTATTTACACTGGCATTCTGTGTATGAATTATTTTTGCTTTTTTGTTTTGTTTTGTTTCTCAAGAAACATAAAATATATAAATGAAAAGTATCAGGGGAACTCAAACCAAAGCATCCGTATCTGCTCTCCTCAGCTGCGACCTTCCTTTTCTGTCTCACATCTTTTATGTCTAGCCCTGTCCCTTAAGAATTTCCCCGGAACAAATAGGAAGAGCGGAGCCTGAAGCCTTCCTTTCCTAGACTCAGAGCAGATAACTGGCCCAGAGGAGCTGAGCCTGCTGTTTCCCCCAGAAGCAGCCTAGGGCAGGAAGAAATCACGCCAGCAGCCAAGGATGCTGATGGGCCAGAATGGAACTGACTGCTCACCTCTGTGCCCACTGCCCTTTGGGGGCGATCTTTGTTCCCATTTTTCATCAAGCTCCTTCTCTATTTGCTTTCTTTCTGTGTCTTTTCTTGCACCTTTTCTTAAGTCTACTTCAATCCCTTATAACGACTCTTGGGCCCTCTCCAGAGACTTTTAAAATGCCCATTTGGTGCCTAATAATAACAATTTAAGTGACACAACTTTCAAAATCAACAGGAAACTCCTTCATTTGGGGGGAAAAAGTCATTTTTTTTTATCTGACTTCTGAATTCTAATTGTGTTCTAAAGAGTGAAGAAATAAATTGTAGAGTTTGGCTTAAATTGGGAAAAAAACTTAAATGGCCTGCCTTTTTTTTTTTTCTGGTTGTGGACACTGTTACAGCTCCTACTTCTTGGCCAATTCCATGTATCTTCGATAACGGAAAGTTTGCTGTAGGCACTGCTCTCACTTGAAGCTTCTAGAAAAAATTCCTGAGAAAGGAATTTTCTATTAATATTCATTGGTTTAAGAAAACACTTGGTTTTATTACTTGACAGCCATTCGTAGTACCCACCAATGAAATTTTTCAACACAGCCACAGTTTGCTTATTGTTCTCTTGGTATCTGGCCAAAGGTAGGTATCTGAACAGGAGCCCCTAAAATGAACTAACCCTAACATTTCAACAGAAGCATTCTTTCATAGTGACTGGTCTACCAGCCAGGTCAGAGTCATACGATTTAGATATCAGACCTAGAGGTATAGACAAGTGGGTGTTACCCCGTGTAGACAAAGCCGGTGGACTAAGAAAGCAGAGGTCATAGGACAGAGTTAAGAATTCTTTCTGTGCTGACTCTCATTTGCTTCCCATGTGAACTGAGTCACCATCAAAAAGGAACATCAGAATAGGGAACATTTGCTACTTTAGGTGGGAAAGACATGCTAATTGGCTTTCAGAGGCAGAGATGGATCTGTGTATTTTGTCACTTTTGCAAGTCCTTTACAATAAACCTTATTAGTTAACTAAAATGTATTGCTGTTGCTTGAAGCTGAAAAAAACCCAGCTAAATTCATATATTACTTGACACATCACAAATAACACCTTGAACTCTCTGCAGAACTTCCTTTCCTATGACCTGCCTTCCCTCAGTTCTGTATTTTTAACTTGATCTGTCTCCTTGTTTTAACATCCCCTACTCCAGGGCTCTGGGATGAATGCTTCAACTACATGCTTTGGTCACTATTAACTTGTTAAAATATGGTCACTTCCACAGTCTTTCCCCTGGGATTTTTACACCTGAGAAAGAAAAGTTTGCATTCAACCTTCCACAGATAATTTTTGAGATCTAAAACTTCTACGTTTTCTGTGTGTGGATGACTAATGTTGAAGAGATGAGCTTGGGAAGATGATATTTATCAATTTCTCGTGACTTTTGCCTTAGTCTCCTTACCTCCATGCTCTCCCATCTCCATGCCTCTATAGTAATGGGGGTCACAGTAACCAACAAGGCCACTTCTTGGTTAGTTGCCCACAAGTCTGATATGCAACAGTTTGGCTCCTGGCAGTTATTCATAAACTCATACAAGCAACTGGGGCATGGCTAGATAAGGACGCTTGCGGACAGATGTGAGCATCTGTGTGACTAAGGTGGGTGTGTGACAATGTGGATGTGTGCTACAAATGACTGTGTTTGGCTGCATCTTTGTGTATGTCTAACCACTGCCACAGACACAATGGCAGATAGCTCCTGTGGCTGCAGCCTGTGCATTTGTCACCACCATTCTAAGTAAAGGATATACAAGCCAACAAAAGACTCCAAGCTGTTTTGTGAACCCGTCCGTATGCTGGGCTCTAAAACCCAGACATACACCAAGCTGCCGTGAGAATGAATGAAGCTTCCATTTCAAAAGAACAAAAGCCAAGATGGGTCTGCAGAGTATTCAGGCTCTATGACTTACTCGGTCATATCATCCTTTTTCCTGACATAGCTCAGTTTCATTGTTACCTGAAAGTAGAACAGTATGAAAGGCACAAAGAACTTCTCCAACTTTACTGAAATCATGTAAGTCGTTGTGCACATTGAAGACTGCTTCCTGCTATAGACTACACTTTTCAGTTTCCCTTCCCGGTCTCTCAACAATATTTCTTGATTGAAGCCATAACCCAAAACAGAAATATTCTTGTTCTGTGTTGCTTTCACACATCCCTTTCCTCACTTGATTTCTACCCTAACATAATTCAAGGAGAGTCTTGGAATGATGATGACAGAATGCTGCTGGTGGGGAGATGGAATGCCTTGAAATCAGAGTTCATGGTTGACTTAGATTCCCTAAGTTTGTCCCAGAGTCAGAGTTCATTTCAATCTTATGATTGCACCTAATTGTACCCCAAAGATCAGATTAGTATTTGTTGCTTAAGCCATTTTGTTATTGGCCATCTGGAACAAATATCAAGAAAAGGGAACTCTATCATAATCAATTACCTTTTCAAGAAAAAAATTTAGGTCATTTTAAAACATTTTATCTCTTGCCCATCAACTTCTTTTCATGTTATCTCATGATTTTGCACAGATCACTTCACATACCTTTGCCCCATTCCTCATTGTAAAGAGATGGTTATACTACAAGCTCAAACTTTTATAAATATATTGATTTACCATCAATTACTACACAGAAGTCATCACTGCCATACACTGCATCTCTTTCTTACATTTCTTCTTTTTCTCCAGTCACCCATATATAACCTATCCATCTGGGCCACATGCACAGACAAATCTTAAACTTGCGGTCTTAAGTTGGCTGACTGCTGCAAAAATACCACACACTCTGGATTTAAGCAGCACAAATCTATTTCTCTAGGTCTAGAGGCAGAGAAGTCCAGGATCAATTTGGCAACAAGTTTGATTCCTAGTGAGAGACTGACTTCGTTTATGG